CTTCTGCATTAGGTACCATAGGAGGCGTTTGCAGATAGGGAATAGCAGTTCTCGGAGGGCAGCAACTATTCCTATTCGTGCTAATGGTGCTGACTCTTGTACTATATTGTCAGACTCAACACTTGGTCCGGATTCGCCTGTAAGATCTGGACAGAATGGTAGATCCTTCTGGCATGAAGGATTTAAGAAGAGCAATGTGGTCTCAATGTCTGGAATTCCCGAGTATTCTTACAAGTAATGTTTCCAGAAAACCTATTCCTCTTGTTTACCTTACTTTTTGATTTTATCTTAAACGATTATCTTTTTATCATATCCTTTATCTTTACATGTGACGAGAATGTTCAGTATGATTTATTCAGAACTCTGCAAGTACGAATCCTAAATTACCTAGAATTGACACTTTTGAAGGCAAGCACTGTTTCTTGACTGATGTGGAAATGTATCGATCATGTTTATGGGAAATATGCGAGATTCTATCTTTAGAATGTTAGTGATAATATGAATAAAGTAACCGGTAATCGCTAAATAATCAGTCTGCATGCTTACTGTAAACATTTGAACGCCAGATGATCAATCTATGTGAATAGGGTGGATAGCTTGAGTTCTTATCAGAGGAATGGTAATCTGATATTCACTGAAAACACAGACACAATCACAAAAGCTTTATATGCCTACATATTTACTGTGGTTTGCTTCAATTGTTCTGTGAGATACCAAATGCCATACATCTATAATTGCAAAATTTACTAGATAGGTCCACACCATATTGGATTCTCGTAAGATGATACACAGTGGTAAATAATCCGCCTGCTTCATCATGAAATTTTTGGTGTCATCCTTCCCAAGTCTTAACTGCTTAGTACTCCCTGTTTATTTTTTTGGTGAAATTCTCAATGACTTAATATATTACTCTTTTTAAACGAGATGCAGCTTATTTTGCACACTTAAGTTCTCGATCTTCTTTCCCATTTGGTTTGTTAATTTTTTGTTAATGGGGTTCATACAGGGATCTGCAGAAAGCAACATATAACTTTACAACATTGATAGGGCAAGGTGCATTTGGTCCTGTGTACAAAGCTCAGATGTCAACGGGTGAGACTGTCGCTGTTAAAGTGCTTGCAACTGATTCTAAGCAAGGGGAGAATGAATTCCAGACAGAGGTAGTGGTTATTTGATGGTTGATAATTACTAGTTTTATGCCCTGATTACCAGTTATTGATTAATGGTATAAATTTATCGGAAATATGTTTAAATGTTTGGGAGTTTGGTGATATATAAGAAAGTTAATCCACTTACAGATATTTTCAGGAGATTTGTTTTTGGAGACTTCGAAAAATCATAACCATGTTTAATGTCATGTTGTAGTTTTCCTTTTTAAGTTTATCCACCTTGTCTGTTATAGTCCCTCATGGTGATTCTGTTCTTTCCCCTTCAGGTTAAGCTATTGGGAAGGTTGCATCACCGAAACCTCGTGAACTTAATTGGATATTGTGCAGAAAAGGGCCAACATATGCTTATATATGTCTACATGAGTAAAGGCAGTTTGGCCTCTCATTTATACAGTAAGATGACTGTCAACTTCAAATATGTTTGTTTTAATGTAATGTTTTAGATTTATCACGCAGTATGAACTCCACTCGATATGCATATATAAGTACGTTACCTAAGAATAGCATGGTTTTCTTTATGTAGGTGAAAAGCATGAGCCATTGAGCTGGGATTTGAGAGTTCTAATAGCTCTAGACGTAGCTAGGGGCTTGGAGTATCTTCATGATGGAGTAAGTAAATCGTGTTGTGTGACACAGCGAATTTCATCTTTGCCTGGGCATGCCTGCACGTGATTTTATTCATGCCAAAGGTGTTTACTCGTCTATTTTGCACTTTTTACTTCAGGCAGTTCCTCCTGTAATACACCGTGATATTAAATCATCCAATATTCTGTTGGACCAATCCATGAGAGCTAGGGTATGTCTTCCAACTTTTCTATAATTATTACCAACTGCAGATTCCGAAATAATATCTTGTGGTGTGAAGAGGAATTATTTGATTTACTTCCCTTCCAAATATCGAAAAATTTATTGCATTTTGGATTTTTGCATAATATATGTATTTAAACAATAAAGAATTAGGCTGCCAATTGAGATATTATATAGGGTTAAGTTGGATTAAGCAGGTTGCTGATTTTGGACTTTCAAGAGAAGAAATGGTGGATAAACATGCAGCTAATATTAGGGGAACTTTTGGTTATCTTGATCCTGAATATATATCTACAAGGAATTTCACCAAGAAAAGTGACGTTTACAGCTACGGTGTTTTGCTCTTTGAGCTCATAGCTGCAAGAAATCCTCAACAGGGTTTAATGGAATATGTTGAACTTGTAAGATCTCTCTCTTTCTCTCTCTCTCTCTCTCTCTCTCTCTCTCTCTCTCACACGCACTGCACATGCGCACGTATGGATAACCTAATATCATAGTAGACTATCATATTAGACTCCTAATATGGATAACCTAATATCATAGTAGACTATCATTTCCCTTTTTTTTTTTAGCAGATGTACTTGTCCACTTGGATCCTGCTGTTTACTTTGCAAATCTAATGATATTTCTGTATGAAAAATAGGCTGCGATGAATACAGAGGGGAAACTTGGGTGGGAAGAAATTGTGGATTCGCGTCTTAATGGAAGTTTCCATGTGCAAGAGCTCAACGAAATGGCAGCTCTGGCATATAAATGTGTTAGTCGTGCCCCCAAAAAAAGGCCTTCCATGAGAGACATCGTACAAGTGCTATCGCGGATGCTCAAAATGAGGCACAACAGGAATCATGTGAAATCCTTGTCATCTGTGACAGATGAAGGCACAACTGACGTGAACCAACCAGAAACCAGAATCCAAATGGCCGAACACCACAGAGAGGAGTCTGTGGACAGCCTAGCCGATACCTATGAAGTATAGACGCTGGCTTCCCCATTTTTTCATTTTTTTTCTTTCTTATTTCTTGGTTTTTCGGGTTTGCTTTTTTGATACATGTGCAGTCTTTGGGCTAGAAGATTTCTGGTCGAGTGACACAGGTTTTCGGTTCAACATTCGACCCTGTAACATATCCATTGCTTTCTTCCTCCCTGTTTTGCTCAGATGACAGATTTCTAGATTTATGTACCATACTTTGCAATGGAAATGAAGGAAAAGTTGATACCCTTTTGAACTTATTTCCCATTATTTTCAGTGTCTGCATAATTTACAATTGAGAAATTTTATTTGAATCCATATAAATTCTTTAGACACCCAACTTAAATTTTAATTTTGAAGTGTCCTTTTTTACATATTACATAATTACTATAAAGTACAAGATGTAATTAACAATAAAACTAAATTTTATCAATAAACCCACATCTAATAATCAAATTCTTACTATCACCAATCTAATCTTTCTTCTTCGAAACTTAGAAAGTGATGAAAAAAATAAGATTCGTGAGTGAATGTGGGGCACATAAAAATCACAAGTCCATGAAGGCATATATGATGACTTCCCAGTCCATCCTACAGAAAATGGAGGCAATCACTCCATCGTCAAGCCAAAGGAGATAGAAGATGTAGATTATGTACTAGTTAAAATTGGTCAAGCACAAACCAGATTGATGATATTTATGTAAATATTCATAAAACTAAGTTCAAATGGCAAAAGAGCATAGGCACCTATAGAAAAATTATGGGTTATTGCTAAAAGGCGGTAAAAAGTTAAAGGGCAAAAAAAAAAAAAAAAAAAAAAAAAGACAGAAACTTTTGAACAGCAATTTTGACAATCATCTTTAAGTGTTTTGCACTCAAAGGGAGGAGTGCAAGAGATTCAATCAAGTGTGAAAATCACCGGCCAAGTTTTTTTTGAACATTGTAAGAAAGATTTGAAGCTGAATGTCAATATAAAAGCTGTAATCACCCAAAAGGACACAATGAAGAGAGTAAAATTGCTGATGGAATTGGCAACAATATGACCGCAAAGGGTGCTGGGGCAGACATCAATCCCATACCTAAACTTGTATATATAAACCTGTCAAACAAAATTGCAACTGATGTTTTTCTAACAAATGCACAATATAACAAGAATAAAGAAAAACTGCAAGTAGCCTCTGACATTTAAGTCTCGAAATCAAACTCAGTAAAAACCAAAATTAGGGAATGAATAAATTAGAATCTAAATCATATTGATTTGGTTATTCTGTAAGAGAAAAAGTTATCACAAATTCACAAGAAAGAAGACAAATTCAACAAGTTAGTAGTATGGGTGTAAAGATACATTTACATATTGAATTAGGTTTATGAGGGTAGTTTAGGTAATAAAATTGTGTTTAAAAAGATATTAATAGTTTAATTAAAAATAATATGGGTGTGAAGAGTAAGTTAGGTGTAAAATGAGGTTATACAAGTTCAAATAAAATTTCCCCTTACAATTTTTGTGTCTTATTGGAAGCAAACCTTCCGCCAACCAAAAAATAAATAAGTTAGGAACATCACCGATGGTTGTGCTATAATAGCAAAATAACATTGAACTTCTTTTTTTAATATAGTTTATTTTTCCTACAAATCATCAGATAGAGAAAAAAGAATGCAATCATTCCCCTTCTAATATACATGGTTAAGTTTTGGGTGTCCAAAGACAGCTTTGTGTCCACAAAATCACTCTAGTTTGGTACGATGGACTTTGTCAAAATAAATAATCATGCACATTACTTTTAAAATAAATTATTACTAACACTCTAAGATCTAAGTGTACACTTGTCATATTAGAGTATTTTTCTTTCTAAATATCGAAATTTTGAAATATTTAAGTACATTTTTGGAACGTCAATAACAATTATTCAAATCTAATCTTAAGGGCCAAAAGAGATTTACGAATCCAGTCACAGTCGTTATTCCGGCCAGCCCACTAAAATTTGGGCTGGGCTTTACCCTCCATGCATATGTCAGCTTGCCACAAAACCCACCAAAGGACCAGCTACGCCGTCGTTTGATCCCATCCTATTGTAAATTTACACACTCTCTCTCTCTCGTCTCTGTATTATCCATTTCTCAGTCACATTCATAGCCAAGCAACGAAAATGGCAGCCATGGCTGCACTGCAGAGCTCCATGACCTCTCTTTCTCTCTCCTCTAACTCCTTCCTCGGCCAAAGCCTCTTCCCCCCAACCCTTTACCGTGTCCCGGTATGCTTGACTTTCTCCCCCAATTCTTGTATCAAATATAAAATATCTATATATACCTCTATATATACATGTATTTTGCTGCATTTAAGTTCTTTGCTTGTAACAGGGAACTGGGTTTTGCTTAAACTCAACGCTCTTTGTCACAGTGGTTTCTGCAAATTGATGTGATTTTACTTTTCTTTGTGGAATTGAATTCCTCTATTAATATGCAAAAATGGGGTTTCTACAAATAGGTGAAGTGAGAAGGAGATTGATAAATTTTAATGTGTTTGTTTACTATTTGAAAAATTGCACCTCCTTTGGTTATGGTTCTGACATTGTTGGATTCTCTGTTCAAAATTTTCCAAGTTATTATAAACTTGAATTATTTAGTTTGAAGTGAATAAAAAACAGATGAAGGAATTGGTTGAACAGTTTTAGTGGTAAACGAAGGTTTCCGGTGGAATATTTTGAATTTGTGATGGATATAAGAAATTAAGAACACAATTTTGTGTATAAGATTTAGAAATAGGGCCTTAAGTACTTTGTTTCTTAATAACTTCTGATACAGTTTCTGTATTCTATCCCCACTACCTAATAATGACAATGTGTTAATGCCCTAATCAATGATTTGGAGTTTTCCGGGTTTATAAGTAGGCCTATATTAGTGGATAATAATGTTTATACTTGATTTCATTGACATAAGACTGAGTTGTATGAAATGAACGTTTAGCTAGAGTGAGCTTTCGGTTTACATAGTCATAAGCGGGGCTTTCTGCACTCTACATACTGATCGTGACACACATATCGGTTCATTCTGTTAGAATAATTTCATTTCTTTTCAGAGTTTTTGTGTTAACGCCTCCAGTATATGGCATCTCATAAAGTTTTTCACTAAACGTGTCATGTTGAATTTTGATACTATATTTTAATTTTACCAGCAAGTTTCTTAAAAAGAATCTGATATGTTTTCCAAGCCCATAATTGTGCACGGGTTTTCTTTTATGTTTTGTTCTTTCTTGTCATCTCAAAGAAACAAAATTTGATACCGTCAAGGTGATGGGAATTGTTTTTATGCCATTCACATTGTAGTTTGAGTTTGAATTACTCTGATCACTGGGTGGAAAAAAGAGATACATTCGTAACAATTTGTCCGCTTGTTTTGTGCGCAGGCCAAGTTCACAGCAAAGCCTTGCCTCATCGTCGTGAAGGTTAGTATCACGAGTCCTATCTATTTTCTCTGCCTATACAATCAGAATCTGATGCATGTATAGTGGAATTGCAAACTTACTAGCTTTCTAGAAAGTGATGCTTCTGCTTGTTTGTAGCTGGAGAGTCTTTTATCTTGATTTGCTGGCTAAACCAAGAAAACATTATTTCAATTTCTGGTTTGCATAATTTAGTATCTTTTTCTTTTTAAAAAGCTATTTTTGGTAATGGGATATGATGTAGCATATTAAGGCTGTTCATCTCCTGAAGTGTTGCTTTTTTCGTCGTCTGGCAGCTCAAAAGATGGGAGCGGAAGGAATGCAAGCCAAACAGCCTACCAGTTTTGCACAAAATGCATGTTAAGGTTGGGGATACAGTGAAAGTCATATCGGGACATGAAAAGGGTAAAACTGGAGAGGTAACAAAGATCTTTAAGCACAATAGTACCGTGATAGTGAAGGAAATAAACTTGAAGACGAAGCATATGAAGAGCAGGGAAGAGGGAGAACCAGGACAGATTCTTAAGGTTCTTTTTCTTTCGTGAACTTTGGAACCGTCAACTTTTGTTTCCTTGCTTACTAGTTTCATTTAATTACAAATAAACATTTTAAATTTCATATTCCAGGTAGAAGGAGCTATACACAGCTCGAACGTGATGCTTTTCTCGAAAGAAAAGAATGTAGCAAGTAGGGTGGGTCATAAAATTCTGGAAAATGGACAACGAGTTCGCTACCTCATCAAAACTGGTGAAATAATAGATAACGCCGAGAACTGGAAAAAATTGAAGGAAGAGAAAAAGAAAACTGAAGAAGCCGTCACTGCTGCGTAAGGATCCAAATCTTGCCTGAACGCGGCTGTAGATTAGAAACTCCGGATGTATTAATATCATTTTGTAAGTTTGTATTGGTTTCTCTTGATTGATGCACCGCAGCTGAGTGATATAAATTTCTTTATCTGTGTTGGTTGAATGCGAAATTAGAATGTTGATCGTCCTCCAAAACGTGCAAGTTATCTTTTGAATGCATTGAGACTGAGCATGCCGGACTTGGTCATTTGGAACGCAGATTTGTCACGAGGGATTGTTCTTCATGCGCTGTACACGTTTGGTGCCTAGGATTATATAGGATTGGAGATAACTCGGTAGATTCAATATTGTAGAAAGAACTGGAGGTAATTTCCAAATATGGCAAAGTTGAAGGTAGCAGATGGATTGAGATTAAGAGATTTAAGTTTCATTCGTCTAAGAGCTCGTTTGGTTAGTGCTTTTAAATGATTGAAAGCGTTTTTAGAGAAAATGATTTTGGGTTTCACTCTCATAATATTTTCAATACGGCTTATATGTTGATTAGATGATCTCAACTTTTATTAATTCTTTACACATGATTTTGACATTATAATATTAGGAAAACTAATGAAAATAGTTTGAAAACTTTGAGTTTTAACCAAAATGACAAAAAAGTGTTGTAAGTGAATAGTACCAGGAGTAACTTTTTAGAGTAAAAATGTCCTTAACGTTAAAAGTGAACAATATCAGAAGTATTTCGTTAACACTCCTTATAATGTTACCAATTAGCATTGACGGACCCACTAAGGGGCGGGATGGGTCAGCTGACCCTCCCAACTTTGGCAAATCTCTATGGAAGACCTAAGTGCTGCCTCTTTTAAGCTTAGAATTGTCCTTGAGGTATGCCTTTCAACTGCTCGATGAAATGCCTTAATGAACATTGGGCAGGGCAAGGCATTGTGTGCAGCGCGCAGCTCCTTTGCTGTTGATACAAACTCTCTTTGCTGCTGAGACTGCTGATCTGCAGCAAAACCATGCCATTTTATATTTTCTCTTAACAATAAGACTTGACCACTTAAAAAAAATACAAACTTACTTAACCTTCTTTTCTGGACATAGATAAACCCAAGTCTTTAATCATAATTTCTATCAATCACCGATCTTTAAAATTTCAATTTCCCTTTATTAATAATGAAGTTATAATACAATTTCAAATATGAAACAACGATAAACAATTGCAATTTGTAATGTTACTTTATGGATTTTGGAGTTATGATTTAATTTCCAAGGCTATTTATTTGTTAAGGAAATATTTGCAAATTTTATGTGTGACCTTCAAAATAATTTTTTCTAGATCTGCCACTGATGGAATCATAATTAAGAATTTTCACGAACTGATTACTAACTATTTCTGTGTAGAAATTTGTAAACTAAATCTCATTTTATGATTATTCGTAACAATTCACCTGACATACCATCTGAAGAGTTATTATTAAAATATATTGCGTGAAATAAATTTTTAACATATTCTTGAAGGATGATGATAGAGAGATCAAATGATATGGTTGTTGATGATTAAATTATTATTTAAGTATTAATTAACATGCTTATTTCTTATTAATGACATCATTCAATTTACAAACTTAATTTAAAAATTAATCTATCTAATATTATCCATTCTTAAATAATTAGCACAAGACGTAACCGCCCCATGTGATCCGCCTCTGTCACTGTCACGTAGATTAACAAATCAAAATTTGACATGTGTAACTTTAGTGTTTCGGGTTTCGAGCGTACAGAAAAAATTGTTTTGGTGACGCTTATGTAAGTGCTGACGCATCATCCCTTTTAAAAATCCAACGATTTGCATACCAAATAATAATATATTATCTCCATAATCACCATCTCAGATCCATAAGTCATGGCTGCACAAACTACTACCAGCGAAGCTGAGCACTGCTCTTCCTCTTCCCTGCCCCTCAACGGCCGCGTAGCCATCGTAACCGGCGGTTCGCGCGGCATCGGCCGTGCCATTGCAGCTCACCTCCACTCCCTTGGCGCAAAGGTCGTTGTCAATTACGCTTCATCAAACTCGGCGCAAGCAGATCAATTAGTCTCAGAGCTCAACCAGACAAGCCCAAAATCGCAAGCGATTGCGGTCCGAGCAGACGTCTCGGACCCGGATCAGGTGAAGCAGCTCTTCGACAAAGCCGAGCAAGAATTCGGGACCCAACTCGACATCGTCGTGAACAGCGCGGGGGTTTTGGATCCCAAATATCCCAGCGTGGCCAATACGGCGGTGGAGGACTGGGACAACACATTCAATGTCAACACCAAAGGGGCGTTTTTGGTTTCTAGGGAAGCGGCGAATAGAGTCAAGCGCGGCGGCGGCGGGAGAATTATTATGATAACGTCGTCGGTCGTCGGGGGGCTTATGCCTGGGTACGCAACCTATGCGGCCTCCAAGGCGGCGGTGGAGACGATGGTAAAGATTTTGGCCAAGGAGCTCAAGGGCACCGGAATAACTGCGAATTGCGTTGCGCCGGGGCCGGTGGCGACGGAGTTGTTCTTCGCCGGGAAGAGTGAGGAGACGGTTAAGAGGCTTGAGGATGCTTGCCCTCTGGGTCGATTGGGCGAGCCCAAGGATGTGTCTGGGATTGTGGGGTTTTTAGCGGCGGATGCAGGCGAGTGGGTCAATGGTCAGGTCATTCGGATCAACGGTGGATTTTGCATTTGATCAACTCGTTTATTTGCTGTCTTATCACCATATTGCACGTAATCGAATCCCGTCCAGTCAGCAATCTTTTCTCCATGTCGAATTTTACTTTTTTGCCCATTGAAAATTATTAAATTTGTAGAACTGGATTGGCTGGATTTAAAAAATAAATAAAAAAATAACAAAGGGTTTTTAATGTAACTGGATTTTTTTGGGTTTTCCTTGCATTGTTTCATTCATGTTGAATTTTTTTGAGATATAATGATGAGGACTAGTGGTTTTGCAGAGGGAGTGGATGCGTGAAACCCTCAGCTCTGTTTTTATTTTATTTATTTGTTTAGTAATATTAGAGAGTAAATTTGTAGATAAAATTTTAACAACTAAAGGACATAGTAATTGATAATTGGTTTATTATTTAGATGTTGATAAACGTGATCATTCCTATTAGTGATACATAATTTAGTTTGCAAATTTAGTCTTCTTAACATTACTTTTTTTTTTTATCAATTAATATTTTATTTAAATGTAACATGGAGCATGCTACTTAATACTACGGTCTAGTGATATTTTTTTTCATTTGTAAGTGTGAGGTTTTAAGTTCGATTTTCAATAAATTAGAATCACGTTATTATTAACCTATTGTGTCGTTTATTCAAAAATAAAAAAAAATAAAAAAAAGTGTAACATGGAATGTTTAAGCTAAAGTATCTAGCTACCGTTAGATTATTCAGTTTCAAGAATATTTCAGAAGTTCTAGTTTTGAATTTCAAGCTCCCCTCACCACTCCATGACACTCGAAAGTGCATGAGAATTCTTCTATATGCTTGTTTGCCTAAGTTGAATCAATTTGAAGAACTAGTTGAAATATGTGAAAACACACAACTTTCGAATAATGTGATTTTCGTGGTGATATGCAAAACCAATTTTACTAACTTCATCTACACAAAAATTGATTCAGCTTGGGATTTCGAATCACCTAAAAAAACTAAAAAATGAGAAAGTTATGATAAATTGTTGTTAAATCGACGATGTGTGTACAGTGAAATAAATAAAATAAAACACAAAATTTACGAGGTTCCTCTACAGTCAGTGTGACTGGAGTACGTCCTCAGGCAGCAGTGATGCTTTCATTATAATTTGGAATACTAGGAGTACAAAGATAACTCTATGTATTCTCTCCTCTCCTCTTTCTCTCTTTCTTTCTCTTCTCTCTTTCTCTCTGTGCTCAGTTTTCAAAGCATACGGAATGCTCTATTTATAAAGCAACTCCAAGCACACATCTTTGACAATATAATCTCCACATATCAATATTCTGCAAGGTTTTCAACACTTTGGCAATGTTTTCAATGTTGTGGCAGGTATTCAATACTGTGGGCATTCATTACCCACTAGTATTTTCAACACTCCCCATTGGATGCCCACATATCAACATTAGTTGCCTCGTTAAAATCTTGATCTATTTTTGGATGCTCCCCCTTGATGAGTTTCTCCCCCTGATTTCAAATTCTTTAGGCTGATCATTGATCCTGCTGCTTTAGTCTTTTAGCGGTGATAGATGCCGAATGAGGTGTTTCACTTGTTGTTAACTTTCCACAGGCTTGTTCTTGAACTGGGTTAGAGGGTTTTCTGCTAGACTTCCTCCAAAGGTCTGAATTTACCTATTTTATCTGGAGCTGAATTTGATTTAAGGGTGGTGGACACTTGATCTTGAATCGGACTTGTGATTTCTTCAAATGCCGTCTAGGCTTGATCTTGAATGAAATTGGACCATGAGGAGCTTCATGTGACAAGTGATTTTAGACTTTGTCGGGGATAAACTGACATGTGTTTGTTGTGCTTGTTTTCACATGCTTCAATGTATCATTTTCACTTGCCTTACTTGCTCCCCTTGCAGAAGTGGTATTTTCTTTATGCAGGTTTGGCATCTTCTCTTATAGTATTTGTCCTCTGATACAAAAGTGGAATGCAAACCTTGCATTTGAATGGACCATCACTGCTTGGTGGCAGCGCAAGTTTGAGTGGAGGTTCCGACATATTGTTTTCTCTGTCCTTGTCTTGGCAGGTAAGAACAAGGACAAAGGAAAGGACAGGGAGATTACATGATATGAGATACTCTTGCTCTCGTCCCTGATGATATGAAATACTCTTGCTCTGGTGTGACTTGTTTGTAGAGATATTCTCAGAGAGGAAGAAAACTGAGTATTTCGAGATACTCTGTGAAAGATGCATTCTCGGAAATGAGGAAGAGTTAGATATTTTTCAGTTCTGCCTTGCCGTGGAGGACAGAGGTTGACATATATATGGATTTCCCAATAGCAGGTAGTAGTGCTGTGTCTTTACTCTTGTCAGCAACTGTGGTATAATTAGAACAGTAAGATTCACGCGTTTTCAACTTTATCAGAGATCTTTGACAAAGTTGCACGTGATATCCAAGAGCTGAGATTGCGTCTAAAAAATGTTGACAGACGTCATGCAGGGAAATCCAGCTTTTGAAATTCGAAAATCGGTGTCTCTTCGATTTTTGAATAAGTGGTCATGTTGCCCCTCCTTTTATAGAGATATCAATTTTGTTCAGAAACACTCAGAAATTGTTGCCTGCAGAAATTTCCCTTTCTTGCACTTCTGAGATTTTATCTGACTTCCTTCATCATTTCTGAAAATGGCTTGCCCATCTAACATTTGCTTAGATTTGAGTCTCAAGATTGATACAGACGAGCAGCGTCAGGATAACATATAGCGCCCGTCCTTCTCATCTTCTAATGGTCCTCTTACGGTTGGGGACTCTGTGATGAAGAATAACATAACTGCTACAGTGGTAGCCAGGAATCTTCTCACTCCAAAGGACAACAGAATCCTTTCAAACCGTTCTGATGAGGCGGCTGTTCAAGACTTATTGGCTCTCAATGTTCAATGTGCGGGCTCTATATCCAATATGGGCCAGCGCTTGCTTGCTCGAACTCACCAAGTTGAATCATTAATGGCTGAGGTTGCAAGTCTTAAACAAGAGATTAGAGGGCTCAAGCATGAGAATAGAGTGTTACACATGCTTGCAAATAATTACTCTACAAGCATGAAAAGAAAGCTCGACCAGCTACTAGAATCCGAAGGTCGGACTCAAAATGACAATCGGGGGTTCGAGTCTTTATTCCAAAGACATCCATTGTCTTAGCTGTCTGGAGTTTCACCAAGTATTGAGACTCCAAATAATCAACTTCTGGTGTCTTCCCCTTCTGGGGTACTTCCGAGTACTGAGGCTTCACATGAGCAACCTTTGTGAAGGTTCCCTCTTGTTTGTTTGTTTTAACTCATGTGTATGTAATTTCTCGAAGATATTAATATATAAGCTTTATTTCATTCAGTGTATTGTGTTAAATATAATAAAGCATATATTTCACTAAGATGTGGTACTTCTGGACCAAGTATCAATTTATCTTTACCCCTTGCGAAGATAAATGATCATTCTTAGTGTATAAATCATTTGAGTATTCAACTAATGATCTTCAATCCACATGATTCTTTAATATCATAAATATCATGGATAAGCTTCGTGTTCGCATATTGTTCGATTCTGCAGTTCGAGACAATATTTCTCTCAGCACTTTATAATCTTTCTTGACTCTTCAGGAGTCCCAATTTAATATTATCAACTCTTGCAAGAGATTTTAGTATGTTGCAATAATACCATAATGAAAATACTCACTAAGGCAATTTATATCATCCATTGGTATTGAATACATATTTTATGTTTTACCCTTCCGGGGCTTACTTCAAGCAATTTGAATCCTTCAGGGATTTTCTACATTTCATGACACATTTTCCTTTAGAATTTATACAGAGCAATTCGCTTCCATGTATATTTGAGGGATTTACTTATGGAGATATGATGTGGGCGACTCATAACCCTTCGTGTATAATTCTCCATTTATACGAACTCGTTTCTAACCTTGTGTCATATCATGTGGATGTATTTCATGGTATTACAAATGCCCATATGTAACCTTTTAGGTTCAACATCTTTTGACTATTTGTATTGTATCCAAGTATATAGGTCTATTTTTCCACGTTCTTACAAAATTATAATGGAATTGTCTTTCTCCATTTTTGGCCCATAATTTTGTTGATGGAAAAAGAACGGGACTCAATATCACCACAGCTCATTGATGAATTTAGTAACTACTTGTAAAAACCAAAATTACCATTGGTTATCATCAATCTTTGATCCCATATTCTCATGTGCATGCGCATGCATAAAAGTTTTTCATTTCTTTTGGGATATCCATTGCCTCTTCAAGGGCATTACACTATCTCTTCCAGGATAGTTATAATTTAGAGAATGTGAATCATAACCTCCTATTGAGCATTATAGAGCTTGGATTTTAATCCCCACTTCAGGAGTTAAGTCATTGAAACCTATACGTCTATCATGCTTCATGCATGAGACATCAATATTCCCATGTCCACGGATTGACCTTTCTGGGACAAGTATCTTTGCGGCAACTGTCATGCGTCTGGCATGCGATAGTTATGCTTCGGGAATACAATAGTTTTAGTAGTGCCATATTCTTCTTCTTTTGAATGACTAAACCTTTTGAGTTTGAGGATCTGCCACGCTTCAGGCGTGCAACAGATAAATCATTTGCTGCCATATTATTTTGTCTAATAGGGACATTAATTCTTGTAGGCACATTTGCAGCAAGCATATGTGATTTCATCACTTTCGTTGCATCATTAAATGCATCTGGCATTTGATTTGCATATCGTTGAATCATTCAATTATTCTCACTTCGTTTGTATATTGATTACTTCATGAATCAAAATACGACAAATTCTCTTCGTTCTTCTGGAACGGTTTTTTCTCATCATTCTTCTGGAATGATATTTGCTTATCGTTCTTCTGAAACAAAGTTATTTTCTCCCCCTAGCGGCGGGAAAATTGTCTTATCAAAATGACAGTCCGCAAACCACGTGGTAAATATATCCCCAGTCAAGGGTTTTAAATATTGAATGATAGATGATGTTCAACATCAATGCCTAATCCGCAATGATGCTTCATTTCAGTATGTTGTGGTAGTGTAATAGGCACATAAATAACACAACCAAAAACTCGTAAATGTATAATGTTTGGCTGGTTCCCAAACACGAGTTGTACTGAGAAGTATTGATGGTTGTCAACAGGTCTCAA